AGCTTTGATATCACTGCCATATCTGACAAGCTCTCATCCTAATGACAGATGGGCGTCCCTGGTTACCTGGTAACCAGGGACACCCATCTGTCATTACACACTGAGAACCCGTCGGAGCCGCAGCGATTTTACAGCGGCTCCCACAGGTTCTCAGTGTAATGATATAACGGCATTCCTGGTTACCTGGTTACCGGGGACGCTGATCTCTCTGCAGAAGGGGTCCTGGTCCCGAAGCTAGCCAAAGGATCGGCCGAAGCTATGGCTAGATCCTTTGGCTGCTTCGTAAATAGACCCCTTAGTGTTCTAATGTTTTTCAGTAGAGTGGGCATCAGGGGGGTAATATTCCTCTGTTTCTTTAGAGGTATGACATTTTTTAAAGTCATTAGGAAGAGAGCTTAGCAGAGTCGGCTTTCATATCCCCGCTGGCTCTGAAAAGCTCTCATCGTAATGACAGCTGATCCCGGCCAATAGAAAACATTTGGGTGGAGCTAGCTGTCACTGCTAGCTCCGCCCAATCGTTTTTTATTTTTTTTCACTTTTTTTGACTGTTTTTCTATTTTGCTCGCTACCACCAGGGGTTCCGAGCAGAATAGCCGAGCCGAATGCCACTCGGTGGCACTATTCACTCACTGCTTTTCGGCATCTATGAGAAGAGGCCGAACAGCAGCGATGACCCCCATAGTTATTTTTTTTAAAGAAAATATAGCAGTTTCTACTCATTCCTCTTCCATTCCATAAGAACATAATTGTTGAGATTGAATAGGCACACAGATCCACTGAGTTCCATCTATGTGGGTGTGTGTATGAGTTATTAAGAGTACCCTTACCCTTGTATATTGCAATTTCTAAGGAAAGAATCCAAAAGGTTCTTCAATGAGTCAATATTCTTTGCTGAAGGGGGCGTGGCTTAGCGGCGCATGTGAGCAGACGCACTCAACGGAGCTCCGGCAAATAATCCTGTAATTATCCTGATCATCCTCCTATTTTGCTCGTTTCTGCACCTCTACCATTCTTGACCTCGTCCGGGTACTCGGTTGTACCTGTCAGCGGCACCCATATGAGCTGCGATGACCAAGACGGGCGCTGCGGCCCTCGAGGCGGGCCCGAGATTTCAAGATGGCGGCGGCGCAAGGCTGCAAACACCCCGCAAGGCCAAGAATTACAGCGCTAAAGAAATGGCCTTGAGGCTAGAGAAATTTGCCAGGGGCTCCTCAAAAGGTTAGTCACACCTTTTGTAAGGGAAGAGGGAGCTTGTCCCGAGTCGCAGACCCACCATGCGGATGACGATTCTGCCGTATCCAAGGTGGAGGAAGAGCATGCTAGTCCCTTTCTTTGGATGCTGAGGGTATCTTGTCCATTTTCACTGACTTCTACAGGGACCTATACATATCTAAATCTGGGGGTACACCTGCCGAGTTGAGGGATTACCTTAGCAATATGTTTTTGCCAAGTCTACTCCCGGAGGCACGGGATTTGCTAGCGGCCCCGCTGGGGCTGGAGGAGTTAGAGGCGGCGGTCTCTAGTTTCCCCAATGGCAAGGCGCCGGCCCTGGATGGCCTGCCCATAGAACTGTATAAGGAATTTGGCAAGGTGTTGCTTCCTGCATTGTTGGACACCCTGCATGATGCTATGTTGACTGGCAGGCTGCCACGCTCTATGTACGGGGCAGCGGTGATTCTACTACCTAAAAAGGGAAAGGATCATCTGCTCCCCGATGCATATAGACCTATCTCGCTGCTTGGAGTGGATGTCAAAATTCTCGCTAAAGTGTTGGCTATGCGCCTGTCTAAGGTTAATTCTTCATCGTACACGCTGATCAAACAGGCTTCATGCCACACAAATCTACGGCAATGAACATCCATAGGGTATACCTCAACATGCAGGCCCCTATTGATACAGCGGGTGGCGAGCTCTCCTAGCGTTGGACGTGGCAAAGGCTTTCGACAGCGTGGTGTGCTCATACCTTTGGGCCACGCTGTCGGCCTTTGGTTTTGGACCTTGCTTAATTTCCTGGGTGGCATTGCTATATAGGGATCCTTCAGCGCAGATATGCCTAAATGGTGCCCTCTCCTCCCCCTTCAGTTTGCAGCGGGGCACTAGGCAGGGGTGTCCTTTATCCCCCCTGCTTTTTGCCATAGCTATGGAACCATTGGCCTCATGATACGTTCATCACCAGAGATTAAGGAATTTGTTAGGGGAGATAGTGAGGAAAAAATACCCTTGTTTGCGGACGATACACTCCTGTTTCTGGCAGACACTCAGACCTCTCTTACTGCAGTTATGTCCAAGTCTCAGTTTTTGGGCGCTTTTCGGGTGTATATGTGAATTGGTCCAAGTCCTCCCTGCTCCTACTCGATCCCTTGCAGGCCTCCTTGCCACCTACCTCATCACACTTCACGTACTTGGGGGGTCAACATGACAGCCAACCCTGCAACATTCGTGGATGATAATTTGATTCCATTGCTGAATAAATTGAATGCAAGTGCAAAGTCTGGAAAAAACTCCCCCTATCGGTGGTGGGCAGGATCAATCTGATCAAGATGATCTGGATGCCCCAAATACTGTATTTTCTCCACAATTCCCCATGTTGGATCCCACAAAAATCTTTCACATGATCAATTCCCTATTTAGATATCTCATTTTGATTGGTAACCCCCCCGTATTAGATTAGAATTCCTCCAATATCCCAAGGAGCAGGGGGGACTGGCCCTTCCTAACCCGTGGGTATATTTCCTGGCCTCGCAACTTCAGCACCTGGTGAGATGGTCTCTCACTGAGGACCTCCCCGCTACCACTAGGTTATTTGCACACATGTTTCGGTCTAATGTCCCGCTAACACTGTTGGATACCACTTTGCTGTCCCGCTCAGATCTCCCAATGCCAAGACTGCTGGCCAGGGTCTGGGTGTCTGTTAGGACCCTGTTGGGGTTCTCTGAAGTTACCACCTTTACCCCACTTTGGGATAATGGTAAACTACCGGAGGTGCACAAATTGAGGGGTTTTGTATCTTGGAGGGGGGAGGGATTACACCTTCTGTCCCAGGTATATGAAGCAGGCATACTGTGCTCCTTTCAACAACTCCAAGCTAGATTTAACTTAAAAAAGACTCAATTCTTTCAGTATCTTCAGCTGAGACATGCCTTATCTGTACATCCTGGGGCTGGCCCAATACGTATATCCAAGGTACCAATTCTTGACCAGATTGCACTCTCCTCACATACTAAAGGAGTCGTCTCCATATTTTATTCCCACTTGCTTTCTCCCTTTTTGGGAAAGTATCCCCTCAGATGTAGGTTGGCGTGGGAGGGGGACCTGGGGGCCCTCACGGAGGAGGAATGGGACAGTGCCATGGCCTCGGTTCGGGGCCTCCTCTCTATCCTCCTCTCACAGACTAACTCAGTTGTTCATTCTACACAGAACGTACCGCACCCCTGAGTTTCTTTTTAAAATTGGAGTGAGGACAGATTCTAAATGTCTCAAATGTGGCATCGAGCCTGGTTCACTTATACACCTGCTGTGGCGCTGTCCCAAGTTAGTGAGGTATTGGGTTGAGGTGGTACATTGTGTCAACTCTACATTTAATGTCCAACTCCCCTGCTCTCCACTCATCTGACTTTTGGGTGTGTTTGACACATCCCCATGGGATACCTACACTGTGGATGCTGTATCTAGGGCTCTATTTGCAGCAAGGAGGACTATTCCCCTCCAGTGGATGTCCCATGTCACACCAAAGGCAAGGACTTGGATGACGGAGTTGGACCGTCTTATATCGCTGGAGAGAATCACCTACAAATACAGGGGTAATATGCCAAAATTCCACAATATCTGAGACAGATGGTTGGGCAGGCAGTCTCCACAAAGTGGGGACCATTAGAGGTAATGTCCTGAATAGGGCTGGGGAGATAGGAGCAGTGGAGAATGAACGCGGGCTGTGGTGGCAATATAGAGTTAGGCTGAGATGGATGGGAGTATGGAATAGGGAACCACAGGATGAACATGGTGTCAGAATGGATAGCGTAGTTGGTTAGGAGACTGTGCAGTAGTAGAGAGAGAGGGCCCAGGATAATGGTGAAGGATGGTGGAATAAAGGGCCATTCAAGCATGGTAAATGTCGAGGAGGGAGTCGAGTTATGATATTGTGGTACTTTTGGTATGGGAATATTGGGTACCGATTATTCTGTATTTATGTATGAAAAAATCAGGTGACGTGTATGGGATATTTTTGTTTCTATGTTCCCCTTCACTCTCCTGCCCCCCC